AGTGGCAATTATTCCAGTTCAGGCTGATAAAACTAGTAGTCTATTAGTTTACAGTATGTTGACGGCATGAAACAATTAAAGGGTCTACACGTCCCACGACTAAAATCAAGGGCAATCGGTGGAGTGGTGGGGAGCGTTCCGAATTACATATAGATTGCCTCATGTAGACATATCGTTAGGGACAATTATCATCCAAAAAGGATCGTTACGTGTGTAGGGTAATAGAGGTTGATTTCACATCAGTACAGTATTGCCAACTTACAATAATTTTGTAAGAAAACGGTTGGCAACACTGCATAAGTTTTTTCTTTATGGTTGATAATGGAATGGCGCATCCGCCTGCGCTAACAGTTTACGCTTGCGGGACTACAGTGGAGGATGATAAAACTGCATAAGTTTTTTTTTATGGATGATAATGGAATGGAGCACCCGCCTGCGCTAACGGTTTACGCTGGCGGGGCAACTGCATAAGTTTACTACCACTCTGATATCGCCCGAGATTTTAGAGTTATGTGAACACCGTAAACTACGCTAAACATCCTTCGTGTGACCGGGACAAACAGATTGAAAGAGATAGAAAATATAAGTATATAAAAGTAGACTAAGAATAGATTGTATTTATTTAAAAAATGGGTTTCTTCTGATTAAATTCGCATCATATTGTATCAACTATAACTCGTTAAAATCGTGGGTGGCATTCCTGCGTGATAACTGCATTTGTCCATTTACACAGACAGTTTTATTTTTATTCTGCGTTATAAATTTCATGTCGCGTACAAAGTTGACAAGTTATATAACAATAGAATTTAAAAAATTAATAAGTATTAACAATATGTTATATTATATTGAATTCAAATAAAATATGATATTAAAAAATTAAAAATTCATTGTAAAGCAATAAACAATTTCTTTTTGTTTGATAAAAAAACATACTCTTTATAATTTGCTGAAATGAAACAAATAACTATTATTACTGACGACATTACAATTTAAAATATTGGTATTATTGATAGAAATATTAGAACTGACAGACTTATATTATTAATTTATCATCCCACGTCACTCGACTTTAAGACATTATACACTTCGGTGGGAGATTACACAGGCTTCCAGAGTCGTAAATTATTTACTACACAAAATTAAAACTTATTTAGCACCGTTATATTAGTAGATATAGCGATGGTTTAGTTCACACATGTCCGCTAATATGATTACAATATCTTTTTCGCAAACTTCATTTGTTCTTAGGCTGCTAATATACAGCCGGTTAATCGTTAGGTTGCCCGAATGTGCATTCTTGCACTCCTCTTTGGAATGTGAGAGAAGGAGGGCGACGGGCAATTATTATAATTCAAATAGCTTTAAAGTAACTAATTAAAGGTTTTTCAATTCAAGTTCTTACCAAAATTTCGACGTCTCTTAATTTGTTATGAATATAATAATAATTCAGGATAGTTCTCACAACTCCATTTAGTCCCAAGATACTATAGGTTTTATGCGTTTATAAAGAAAAATGAATTTAAGTATGTTTGTAAGTTACCTACTCTTGTAGCCATAACACAGCTTAGGACTAGATGTCGCTGTGTATCCTGAACTATAATTATTATCATTAAATTTATAATCATGTTATCACATTTGAGAACTAAATCGTCGATAATCTACTACAAAAATACAAGAATTATAATCACTTGTGAAGATTGAGCAGTTTAAATTTAATAATTAGGGATAACATGAGGAAGCTCTTATAATATAGTATAATAAGATTTTATAAAATTTGACATAATTGTATAAAATTGTTATCTTGTATTTAACTCTAGCTTTCTATCGTTTATTTTGAACTATATGAGTGCTTGCCTTAAACCCGTGTCCAAAGTGCCAAAATCTAAAATAATAACTAAAACATCATTACCAAACCAATCATTAACCATCTGAATAAGGTTGCTATTTCATAAAATCGTCCATCAACTTTCTGCCCTACGTCCTTTTGATCATTTGCAGTCGGCTCAATATGTTTTTTCATGTAATGGTTATGAAGCATCAATAAAACATCATTATAGACCAATCAATAACCAACTGAATATACTCGTAGTTGCTATTTCATGAAATCGTTTATCAACTTTCTGGCGTATGTCTTTTTGATCTTTTCCCCTAATATGTTTTTTATTTTATTATTTTAGTCTTGACATTTTGCTCAACACTCGATTTGACTCGAATTAAAAGAAAAATTACATCGATGTGAGTATAATGTTATTGTGTTTTTTATATAGAAATCTAACCGGGTACTTAAGCGATAACATATATATATATTTGTGTGTACTGTACACAATATCTATATATCGGGTCAACTACCATCAATGTATGCATGTATGCCACTCGATAAAAACACATATGGATTCAATATCTAAAAACGATATTACCCATATCTATTCGTTCAAACGTGAATATATAAATGAATGATTTAAGAAAAACTTTGTAGTCTCTGAGTATACAACAAGCTTAAACTATATGAGTATCTTAAGTTCGATGAAAAATAGACTTTATGTACCAACTAAAGAGTTCAATTCTTTAGATGTACAATTAACAAACAATACCTATGCACATTATATTTAACGACTAATGTAATTCATTACGTCATAACTTAAAATTAACATAAGGAGCTATAATCTAATTAATTTACTAAACAAACACAGAAAATATTTGTTTTATAAATAAAAAAGATTACGTTCCTTGAGACAATAAGCATATACAGATGCTTTATACGTTAGCCATCATCGATTTTACTGTAGCATCGTGTTTTAGCGTCAAAATTACCGTATTATAGCGACTAATTACAACATACGCACAGTTTAGTGACCATTATATTGAAACCACGTGTTTAAACGATCACTATATCGGAATTCCGCGTCTTCGTGACCATTATATCGAAATTCTCCGTCACAGCGACGCGATCCCTATATCGAACCCACACGTTTTAACGACCATCATATCGAAACAACGCGTTTTAAAAACATGTCGTAAATATATTAAATATACAATTGTAACCGAAATATAAAATAGCTTCTTAGTGCGGTATCATTACAGACTACATTACGGTCGAGTTTGGAATCGAACGCATCGCAATCGAACGCACAAGTAACCATTAGAAGACTAGACTATTAGAAGTTTTAAACAGCTACTCTGGTAAGTTACGTGATACAATTAAAATCCCCGATTTCCAACGTGCAAAGCATCATGTCTTTTTAAAGCCTAATAGAAATAACTAACCGCTAACAATATATTTCCCAACTTAACAAGACAAAGGAAATTAACAAACATCTTACACTTTACATAACATTGATTTCATTATAATCTTAACTATACAACATAATCGTAGTAATTTGGTACGAATGACTAATTATTACTAATATTTAATTACAGTCGACACTTATGAATAATCTAGCGACTAAATATTTAATTATACATCATTACATAACATATATATAAAAAAAAACAATACAACAGATTTTCATGATTTATGATTACATTACAAGCAAAAAAAAATAACAAGTATGTGTTTAGAATACAAAATCATTTGCCAATTTGTAATTGAATTAAGTACCCCAATTTAATTATTCCTTTCGACCATTTCTATAAGATATGGCACTTAAACTTTTTCCTGTATTTTTCACCATCTTGTATGAAATTAAAAAGATTTCTAGTGAACTGCAATATATTATTACTAAATGAGATCTTTTTATATAACGTTATAAAATAATATATTGCAGGTGAAGAATATATATAAATACAATATGTTACTTAAAAGACTAATCAAAACTTAATTTTACGCGACTGGCCCTATATCGCAGTGATGTGTCTATTCAAAATGGCGTCTACAATTCATAATCATTCATAACATTGATATATTTTTTATGAAAATCTATATGAGGTACATCCCTCATCTAGTTAAAAATAAAAAATCCATAAACAATTCTAAACCAAAACCCAATTACATTTGATATATCGTCTGTTTACAACTAAAACATACTATTTCAAAAACTATATATCTCAGAAAATGCATTTTGAAGTTTGTAATTGCTGTAAATAATTCTCTTTTGAGCTTCAAAACTAGTTTTGTTCTATAGGAGTACACAGTAAGGGTTAATATTGATTTGATTGCAAATGTTCTTTAGCATAATATAATCATAGACTAGTCACAAGTAAGCGATAAGCTTACAAGCTTAGTTCGTAACGGGGAGGTCAAGTCGAAAGCCAGTATTAGTATTCATGAAACTGAAATATTAAATTCAATATGCAAAGAGGAATATTTGAAATAATTTTTAAAACCTTCATGCAAAAAATCCTTGTTGTTTAGTGGTTTAGCCGCCTTACTACCGACGGTCGCGGGTATAATTCTTAGCATGGTACAAAATTAGTCAAATATTAAGTATCAGTTTGTATCAGTTCGGGTGTTTTGTAAAGCAGAAAAATTTATGTATATAACACAAGTGTTGTATAAAATATATTAAAGTTATATATATATTATTTATTACAATTTTTTATAGGCGTGAATAGCCACTGCTTTAGCTTTGATGAGCTGTTCATGTTCTAATCGAATATTTTGAGTTTATTTAAAAAAAAATCTCAGTTTTTCTATCAGTTGTTTAGAACCCATAACACATGCTCTACCTTAGCTTAGGACTAGACAGCTTTGTGTTTATTCTGGTATTAAAAAAATGAACTTTAAATTTATTTTCATTATTCACTTTGTTTTTTGATTCAGTTTCATGAGAATTCTATCTGATTTTTGACTTGGTATACCCATTACGACTTCACTTGCATATCTACACGTTTCATATAACAAACTACCATATTTTCATTGAATGCATATAATTTTATAATAATCCCAACATTGTTATATTATAATAATATCTCCATAAAAAATTAATAAAATTTGTAATATACATATACATATATATATATATAATTATGAATAATCAAAATATTTATAATTAATTGTAGTTATGTACATTTTTATCTTGCGCTGTCAATATTTAATATCTCACATATTTTCACTAGATGAAATATATCTAGAAAAATAAATTCACAAACTTATTACCTTTATAAAAGTATTCTGTCTCTTTCTACCTAGTCAAATTTGAAAGAGACAAAACACCGAATAGCTTTTAGGATTATACTTTCTTGTGAATACACATACAATTTTTTTATAACTATACACAAATAAATCTGTTTATAATTACCATTGTTACACTATCACTTGACGATGAACACGACATTGCTGTCTCTTTCCAACTGCTCCTCCAGTTGGACCGTGGAGAGGCCGCCTTGGCAACACAGCTCGTCTAAACACACCAGTCCATTGTAGGTCCTTACGAGAGCCTGACTATGGTCACTGCTCACTGAGGCAGTGTCATCATTGTGCACTGTTATTGGGTACTGTAAGAGAAGAGCAATAAGGTTCTTTATAGTTAACAGCGTCGAAATTGTATTTGACGGCCTCCAAGCGATTTAGCAACGGAAGAAAGGCGGTGTCTTACTTCCGTTGCGGATTCGATTCCTGGCACAGTACACTTATTTGTTTTCATGAGTATGATTATTAGTATATATATAGTATCGGTCTCGATGTTTTCTATGTATGTATTAAAAAAAAATGTATTTATGTATTTATATCAGTTCTCTAGTACCCTTATTTAAAAGTGTTCTAAATTTTCACCAGTTTCAAAGGCCAGAGAGACTAGACTTTGTTTAACCAATTTTAGCTGATCTTTCTTTGTAAAATATTTGTGTTGCAGTGTTAATAATGAGACATTCAATTTTACATGACATCTTCGTCCACAAGTATAGTCACGCAACCGTCGTGACACATAGGCCGATAGTTACCACTTACCATCCTGTGTTACTTGGGCTTCGCAATGTAATATTATAAAAAATAAAATAACTGTTATTGTGCACAGAAAAATATTTACCTACAAAATAAAAACGTAATATAAATAGACAATAGAACGGAGATCGAAACTTCGAGTAAAGGAAAGGTAGGTAGCGCATTATAAATATAGATTGAGTAGAGTGTTGCTCTTTTTAATAGATGTTTTTTTATGTAAATAATTACAGTATAACAAGTAAGAGGCATGCGATAATCAACATAGAAATCGGTACGCACTCATTATTAATGTAATTAGATAATATTGTCAGTGCTATGGATTTAAAGTTTATCTATAAAAACATTATTATCGTTAACGAATTCTTAAATTTTATAGCAAGCTTTTTTGCAAAGGAAATGTTTTATTTATTATTCATTTATTTATAAACTCTTTATTGCACCAATAGAATTAATACATAAGAATTATACAGAAAAGAGATATGGAAGTACAAAAGGCGGTCTTATCGCTAGAAGCAATCTCTTCCAGACAACCTTCAGGTAGAGAAAATACAACAAAAGTGGTAGGTGGCGCATGAATAGAATGGAAGAATATATCTTTTTTCTGGCAGATTTATAACAGACTCTTGTATTTTATTGTAAAACCTTATGCAATTGCCATAAAACGAATTACTAACTTTATTATGATATAAGTGCATTATGATACTTAATCTAAAACTGAACTTAGTTTAAATAAAAAAGCCTGAGCACCTCACCTTGTAAACTCTCCTTATTAAACCCTCTAATACACCGAATAGCACCAGTTTCCTCTCATTGATGGCCAGGTCCTGAGGCTTCATCCGCCTGCAGAGGTCCCGGACGGTGCTGCCGTACGTCATGCCCGCGTACATACGGAACAAATCATTGACCTTCGGCTGCTGGCGAGCTGTAAGTAACAGTCAAAATCAAAATCAAAATCGAAATTGAAACCGAAATCAAAATCTTTTGATATAACTTTGAAAATCAAAGTCAAAAATAATTCATTCATGTAGGACACTTTAGGCGCTTATGAACATAAAGATTTTGGTATTAAATTTTTTTCTCTAGTGATTACAACTCTTTCTAATCTAATTTTGAAAAATTCTAGTTTTATAATTGAATTTGTATACTGAACTGGACGGTACGGATAAAACATATAATAAATAACATAAAATAAATGATTGTTGATTTGATTTGATTAGAATAAAGTAAATATTACTTACAGGATCTAGCGCAGAACTCCACGCATTGCCGCTGCAAACCAGCACATCTCGTCAACTGCCTTAACTTGGGTGTCGCACTGTATACCTGTAAATAATAATAATCCTTGTTCGCCTCAAAGAATAATCTGCTACAATTTCTAAGGGTTAATCAAGATAAAATGGTAATAATGGTATAACTCAGGGAGCGGAGGAAACAGGGTGAAGTTATTAATTTTGTCGATGTATACCAATACTATTAGTATACTACTAGTATTGGTAAACATAATTGGATAATTAATTTATTCATGTATATAAGGTATGCATAGTATGGGCCATTAGTAGCCTTAAATAAATAAATGAATATATAGTTTAAATAATAAATGAAACATATTCGCCATATATTTAATTTATTAATGAAACTATTCAATTTTGTACAATAGGCGGGCTTAAATATTACTACCATTATTACCATTTACTACCAACCAGGAATGTGGTTTAGTTAATTAAATAAAATTATATAACACATTATATAGGTATAAATATAAGAGTATACATATAAATAATAATATAGTACATACAAACATTATGAGCATACATGCACATATATATTTTTTATCTTTTATTTATTTCGCAGTTTTTTTTATATATGTATATATTTGAATTTATAAATTTTTAGGCTCCCATTGCGATTTGATACAGCCGAAGTTTTTTTATAGAAGTTTTCACTGTATGCCAATATTTTATTATACACTATTGTGATAATATATTTAATTTAATATAAGAAACAACTATTTATTGTTGTTTTTTGATTATCGCCAATAGATGGCGCCTACTACACACACTAACGAAGAAGTAGGATAAGCTGGTAATCGAACTTACAGCACAATATTGGAAGATGGGCACCAGCGTCACAACTCCATAGTAGACGAGGTTCTGCACGCATGCACGCACCAGACTGATTTCCACGTCTGTCAACGATGCTATCTTGGACACGTGGTTGAAACCGTCGATGTATGGCAGTATCTGAAACAATGATACGGTCACATTTAAAAAAAAGGTTTCAATCACTGGCATATTAAAAACATTCAGTTCATTCGATGTTCAAATTAAAAACACTAATAAAAAAAACTTTATATTTTTATTTGACTTTATTAATTTGATTTCTTTTTCGAAGTATTCTAATTGTTGTAGTTTATTCATGTAGTAATAAGAAAAAAGACTAGGTAAACGGAGAAAAATCTATATTAATATAGACTCCTGTGACAATAGAACAGAATGAAAGTGAAGTAACAATTAATAATCTACAAAAGGAACTATAAATTTTAAAATACAAATTTAGATATAAAACACATTATTAGCCAGTTACAACACTAATGTTATTGACTGCAACCTTCATTGCTGAAAAACTTCATAAAAAAGAGTTTTCCATCACCGCCATATTTGAAACATCTAAAATACGTGTTCTAATTATTTAAAAAATGTAAATAATAATAATAATAATAACCCAGGACAACTCACTAAGTCTCAAGTTAAGCCCAGCTTGTGTTATGTGAACTGGATAACTTAAATAACTGATACAAATACTTATATACATTTTTTAAATACATAGTAAACACCCAGACTGCTACAAACAATCATACTTATGAATATAAATGTTTGCATTGAGAAAATCAACCCACGATCATTGAAAGTAAAGCAGTGTGCTAAACTCACAGAACAAAGAGGCTAGACCGCTAGATTTAGTGTGTTTTTTATGGAAGAATTCTAATGGTGGTGTCTGCAGCACTTGCAGATTCAAACTTGTAACACACTAATCTCTCTGATTTAAGAATATTTTTAAAATCTGATAAAAACTTATACATAAAATAGTCATATTGATTTCCTTTTCATATTTATACCTAGTTTAAGAAAAGTGGTCACTTCAACTGTAGAAAACTCGCAACTATTAAAAAGCTATTAATGTTATGTCAGTGTAAATATTAGTTAATGTTTATGGGGAAGTAATAAAATGTAACGGTAAACACAATGCAACATTGCAACGCAGTAATTACTCGAGTCTGACAAACACTGAGTCGGTGAACACGGTTGAATTCACACAACCGCTGCACAGTCGGGTATTGTTAAGTGTCGTTTTATTTATATCGACATAAACAATACTAATGTTTGCAAAAACAAAAGAATACCTTACTTCTCTGTCCTTTTCTCATAAATAGTAAGGTAAAGGGCCATATTATGGAACATTGTACTAGTTTATGAAACAAGTGATAAAAATCCGAATTACAAATAATTTCTAACGTATTCAGTATTTATAATATTATCTTTATGATCTTTAATAACCTATTTATTGATTAAATTAATTTATTTTTGTAAACACCTTAAAATGTATAGAAAAAAAAATAGATGAAATGCCCGTGTCAGGTTGCATGAAAAAAGACTGTCTTTTAGAGTTAGAGAATGACAGGTGTCATCACAATTGTTTTAACAATTTGAAATATTTGTCAATGATACAAAAATACTTGAAACATGTCAATCAAAAGTTTGACTTATTATCTATTGATTGATAATGAATTTAAAGTACTTTAATAAGGTATTTATTTTTTATTTAGGTGTTTCATAATTGCCGCATAAATTTCTAAACAGACCGTATTTATGGAACAGTATATTCAGTGTTCCACATCCCCCTCACATTCGATTTTCTTAGTTGTCCGTAATTATGAAACAGCAAAAAGTGGACAATATTTAGTTAATTTCGTGTTAATCATTGTTAATTAATTACAACAAAGCAATTTACGTTAGAACAGTTTATATTTCTAAAAATTTGCATTTAGATATGTATATAGATTGTAAAATTCTATGAAAATGAAAAACTAACCTCAAAAATGAATAAGCTGGATGATAAATATTGTTTTATATTAATTAAAACATATACTTAAGTGGAAAACCTGCCTGAAAAAATTAATAACACTTTATTTAATTCAAATTTTTTACGAAGCACCTACATATCACATTTTTATAGATGTTTTTAAATTAATAATTTTTGTAGGTAGATACATTTTTTTTATAGAATTTGATATCTTAATTCTATAGATTTATTTTATATCGTTATTTTTATTTTTGATTGTTTGGTATAATTTTTATAATTTGATGTTGGTTGGTTTTCCTGAAATAAATAAACTAACTGTAAAGAAGTGACGTTGGTAAATTTGAATTTTTAGAGAAAGAACAGAACATTAAGAAAATAATTTGATTAATAATCAAGTCGAATGATAAAACTAATGATTACATGACACTTAACAATGATTGTCATTCTTCTAATACATATTCTCCTCTGATAAATACCAGTACCCAGTCTCAACAAAGCAGCCATTCCTGAGGTAATTACTGTATGAAATTATAGTATAAAATGAACCTTAGATATGGTTACTGAAGCTCATTCTGGTATTTATGAAAGTAGTAATTTAAATTGACTAAATTTAACTAATATTTTGAAGCGTAATGTTGGTGATGAATTAATATTTGAGTTGAATTTGAAGTCAAGAAAAAATAGATTAAAGCTGAGTCATCAGGTAAACTCAAACTACCTTCTGCTGGCACATCTGATCAATGGATGCAATATGACTAAAAAAAAGAAACTGATCGTAAAACTAAAGAAGAAAAGCTACATAAAAGAAAACAATTACTAAATGAGAAAAAAGTGATAGCTGATGAACGGAAAAAGCTACTAGAGAACGCATTACTACAAAGGATCAAAGAAAAAATGAAATAGTTGAATTTTTGGTTTAATTTAATGTATATTTGGTTTTTATATCTTGTTTATTAATGCTAAGATTTGAAACTGTTTTTGTCATACTTACTTTGTAAGTGAATATTTATTTATTGCTTGTTTATTCGTATAATTTTTAAATCTAACTGTATTAATAATTAGTAATAAAACTTTTGATACTATGAATAAATAAATTAGTAACTGAAAAATGTTTTTAATGCGAGTACTTCAGTTCATTTTGAGTTCCATAATTTGGGACATTCCCGATGGAACACCCGTACGTGTTGCTTTAGACTGTTTCATAAATACGGCCGTATGTACTTGTCTGTCATTTTATTCAATTTATTAGCATTTTCAACTAAAACTCACTTGATAATAATTATTATCACTTCAGTAGATATCAGGCAAACTATTAACTTAGAAAAATTCAATGTTTCAACTCTATTTTTTTTTAAACAATGTAAAATATTCAACTCCTACTCAAAAGGTGTTTCATAATATGGCCCTTTACCTTAATAGACATATATTTATTCAAATAGACTTAATATGAGCAGTCATTATAAGTAATATTTCTTTTCAAACGAACTTGTACATGATTATAGAAACACAGATTTCATTTTTAAATTCATTTCCCTAATGTGATATCATGCATATCAACATATCGTGCACATCAAATATTTATATCCAGAATTATAAATTGCTCAATTTTATGATCATTGCAAGAGCATCTTTGTCACATAAAAGCCTATCTGACCTTCGTGGGGTCGCAGTGTTCCGTAGAAATTTCGTCACGAAAGACTAAGATGAAATTATATTTTTAAAAAAGTGTCTACAATATCAATACACAATAATAAAAAAGTGGAACTAATATTTGAGATGATTCTTTCTAAAATAGCGGTGTTCAAAAAGCTGATGTCACGATTAAAAGTCGTTTATTGTTTGGAAAAAACTACTATCCCAAGGAAAAAAAGCATTAACCGGTAAAGTGCGCACTGTACCGGTTTATGTTTTTTTTTTCGGACTACCATGATGACGGTTCCGAACAAATATAAACATGCTTTATTTATACTACACGTAATTATGTATCAAATATGTTTAAGTAATCATCAGAAAAGCTCATTAGCTATATTTCTTAAAAACTATGCCAGAGAGAAACAAACGTTATTCAAGTTATTGACGACCTCGGTGGTCTAGTGGTTTAATATACCGTTTTAAGCCGATGGTCGCCGGTTTGATTCCTCCCACGGTACAAACATTTGTATTCATGAGTATTAATAATATAATATTGTTTGTATCGGTTTGAGTGTTTTCTGAATATACGTATTTAAAAAAAATATATATGTATATATGTATTTATATCAGGTGCCTAGTAACCATAACACAAGCTCTGCTTACCTTGGGACTAGATGGCGCTGTGTGAATTATCCTCAAATATTATTATTATATTTTTTATGTAAAAATATAATAATTTAATTAGGCTTATCGAAAACTAAATATTTTCGACTTTTTGACCCATTCTCATTGGGAAAATTATCGAGTTTCATTAACGTTACTCGCATTTCAGATTACTGTGTCACAACCTATTTTACAAATGTGAAAGTAGGTTTGGATATTTATCACGATTCTATAGTTAACCAATTTTGAATGACATTTGGCATACAAATATAGAGTTTCATCAAAATCCGTTCAGTAGTATTTGCTTGAAAGAACAAACATCCATCCATACTCACAAACTTTAGTGTTTATAATATTATTAAGATTTAACTCGTTCTCCTCCTTGTCTCTTCTCTTCCGCTTGATGTCCCCAACAGGGTCCATAATTTAACTGCTGTGAACTTAACTTACCTTAACTACCTACTATAAAATTATACAATGCAATGCATAAATAAATAACTTGCTACAATAGAAAAACGCTACGACGACGCCAGTAGCAACAGAGGTGCGCGCACGCATCGTTATACTGATTAATTCCCACAAAGAAACAATGTGCAAAAAATGCGTGCCAACCATGTTTAAAAGCGAGACAGTAGACGTGACTTCAAAGATTACTGTATCACTTTCTTTTTACTTTAATGCTAGAACGTGTATCTCAAGCTGCAGTATCAGGTACCTACCAGAATTGGTTGGGCAGGGAAAAAAACACGAGGTGAAGGCGAGTGTTGACATACCACAAAGCGGTTAAATCTAACCAGTGAAATCTCTAGAATCTTCTAATAGATCTTGTCCCGTCTAGAATTACAGTAAGTTCTAGACTGTGTAT